GTCAGGTCAGTAATTAGAAAGCATGCCTATAGGATTAAAGGGAAATACAAGGCTATGAAACATGTCTGTGAAGCTAAGATCAGTGTGCATCTAGAAGTCATGCTCATAGGGTTAAAACCATTTTGACATTAGATATCATGCCTATAGGATTTTACTAATTGGTTCTGAATACAATCGCCATTGTCAATCACTTAGACAATATGCCTATAAGACTTAATAATAATTCTTGATTCTATAAGCGTAATGCATTACTGTTTGAAGTACCTAGACGATATTCATTAAAATCAGTAGGCAAATAATAAGTCCTAATACTCGCCCCAATGAACTGCTTCTATATAACACTGCTCGCATATTTCTCACATAGATATCCTGCCTATAGGATTTTAAGATCGATAAAGACTATCAATTAATTGCGTGCATTCGATGTTTATGTGCGGAGGTTAACATGAGCCCATATTTGCTTTGTATTTGCAAGTCCTAACGTGTTTTGTTTGTCGCCTAGTCTTTTACATTTTGAGCAACCTAGACTTAGTCTAGAACTATCCCAAATAGAGGTCCTAATACCTCCAGGGCCATAGGTAAGGGACGGGTAGTGCACGCATAGGAAACGCATTAGAATTGACTAGAGCGCTTTAGGTAACAACTTAAAGATAGTAATCGGGTAGCAGGAGATGATAGTCTGTGCCCGCTGAATAATATGAGTACACCCCGACTCGAGGGAGTTACGAAGTATTATTTATGTTGCACGGGGTGATCCTTTAGACTAAAAAATTTAGGACCCTCCATCCCTATTAAATATTCCTCTCGCTTCTTTATTAGATTAATTCATAATTAAGTTCAGCCGAGACCCACCGTTGTGGACCTCGGGGGGTGCCTAACACCTTCCCCTCAAGGTAATTTCGAGCCCTTACCCGATCTCCAGTGACGCAAATTGGTATAACATGAGTTATTTGTTCTAGGTGCCCTAACGCACCTTAATCCGTTAGGTGGCGACTCTAACCAATTCCTTTTCCCTACTCTCTCAAGGGAGTCATCAAATTTCGAAACCCGATTTCGCGAGAAAAAAGGGGCGCGACAATCGTTGACACTTATCACATTTTTTGACAAATTCCTTGGAATATTTTTCCATGCTATCCCAGTAGTAACTTACTTTGATGATCTTGCGAACCAAAGACTCGACGCCGGAGTGATTCCCACATGTGCCTTCGTGGATCTCTCGAAGAACATAATCGGTGTCCCCTGGCCCCAAACATACAGCTAATGGTTCATCGAACGTTCTTCTGTATAATGTTCCATCTTTATCTAATGCAAACCTAGCAGCTTTGGTTCGTAGGGCCCTCGATTCTTTATTGTCCGATGGGAGTTTTCCATTCTTCAGATAGTCGATATACTTATTCCTCCAGTCCCACGTTAAACTTGTTGAATTTATCTTGGTATGACTCTCTTCAACCACAGATCTTGATAATTGGACGACAGTCCCCGGGACGATGTCATCTTCTTCGACCGAGGATCCCAGATTAGCAAGTGCATCGGCCTCGCTATTTTGTTCCCGAGGCACAAAATCCAGAGTCCACTCCTTGAAGCGGTGCAAAGTTACCTGTAGCTTATCCAAGTACCGTTGCATTCTATCCTCTCGAACCTTGAAACTTTTATTTACTTAGTTTACCACTAATAGAGAATCGCACTTGGCCTCGATGACCTCTGCTCCCAAGCTTTTAGCTAGTTCGAGACCTGCAATCATGGCCTCATACTCGGCCTCATTGTTAGTCAATCTAGAAGTTTTAATAGATTGTCTAATGGTATCACCCGTGGGTGGCTTCAAAACAATGCCAAGCCCGAACCCCTTCACATTCAAGGCACCGTCTGTGAAAAGGGTCCATACCCCCGATGATGTACCCGAACTTAGCAGGAGTTCTTTTTCCAATTCGGGTACGAGGGCCGGTGTGAAATCGTCCACAAAGTCAGCTAAGATCTGAGACTTGATGGTCGTTCGGGGTTGATATTCGATATCGTACCCGCTAAGCTCGACGGCCCATTTGGCCAATCGGCCCGATAGCTTGGGCTTATGCAAAACATTTTGAAGAGGATAAATGTTTAATACACATATAGGATGACATTGAAAGTATGGTTTTAGCTTTCGAGATGTGCTTACTAATGCAAGTGCTAATTTTTCTAAGTGAGGGTACCTTGTTTCGGCATCTCCTAGAGTTCGGCTCACATAATAAATAGGAAATTGTGTACCTTGCTCTTCTCGAACTAGTACCCCACTTACCGCTATCTCTGACACAGCCAAATATAGGTAAAGCTTTTCGTCTACCTTCGGGGTATGAAGCAAAGGCGGACTCGACAAGTATCGCTTTAGCTCCTCCAGGGCTCGTTAGCATTCCGGGGTCCATGCAAAGTCCTTTTTGTTTTTGAGCAAGGAAAAGAAATGGTGACTTCGATCTGACGACCTTGAAATGAATCGACCCAAAGCAGTTATTCGCCCTGTTAACCTTTGCACGGCCTTCACACTATCCACGATCGTGATATCCTCGATAGCCTTGATCTTATCGTGGTTGATTTCGATACCCCGATTGGACATTATGAAGGCGAGGAACTTACCCGAGCCAACTCCGAAGGCGCATTTCTCCGGGTTGAGCTTCATGTTGTATTTCCTCAAAATTGCAAATGTTTCCTGCAAATGACCTAAATGGTCCTCTGCGCGCAGGGACTTAACCAACATATCATCAGTATAGACTTCCATTGTTTTACCTATTTGTTCTTCGAACATTTTGTTAACTAGGCGTTGGTATGTAGCTCCTGCATTTTTAAGCCCGAAGGGCATTGCGTTTTAACAATAAGTTCCAAATTTAGTAATAAATGAAGTCTTTTCCTGGTCCTCTAGGTTCATCTGAATTTGATTGTACCCGGAGTAGGCGTCGAGAAAAATTAGGATCTCGTGGCTGGCAGTGGCATGGATCATACGATCGATGTTTGGCAATGGGAAAGAATCTTTCGGACATGCCTTATTCAAGTCCTTATAGTCTACACACATTCTAAGTTTGTTTTCTTTTTTCGGAACTACAACTACGTTGGCCAGCCACTCGGGGTATTTTACCTCCCGAATGGATCCTATTTTAAGAAGTTTGGTTACCTCATCTTTTATGAAGGCATGTTTTACCTCGGACTGAGGCCTCTTCTTTAGCTTCACCGGTTTGAACCTGGGATCGGTGCTCAGCCGATGCGTGGTGATTTCCGGTGGAATCCCTGTCATATCTAAATGGGACCAAGCAAAGCAATCCATATTATCAATAAGAAATTGAATGAGTTTTTTCCTGAGTTCGGGGGTCAATTCCGTTCCCAGGTATATCTTTCTCTGGGGAAAGTATTCGATAAGTATGACCTGCTCCAGTTCTTCGACAGTTGACTTGGTTGCATCGGACTCTTCGGGAACGACGAAGGTTCGAGGAGTAAGGAGATCCTCTTCTTCATCTTCGATTACCTGTTGTTCCGACTCCATCGAGGCCGGGGGCTGTGATTGCTATTTAGCAGCCTGCTTACCTTTGGTGCTCGATTTCTCTGAGGTCAAGGGCTCTGGTATCGGCACCACTTCCTCGATCACAAACATCTCTTTTGCATCGTGTTGCTCTCCGTAGACTGTTTTAACCCCTTCCTCTGCTGGGAATTTAATCATCTGGTGAAGAGTTGAAGGCACTGCCCTCATGTTGTGTATCCATGGTCTCCCGAGGAGTGCGTTATACCTCATGTCACCTTCGATGACCTGGAACCTAGTGTCTTGTATGGTCCCGACTACGTTTACTGGCAAGATAATCTCTCCCTTTGTTGTTTCGCTTGCCATGTTGAAGTCATTCAGGACCCGAGATGCAGGTATAATCTGATCTTGTAGGCTGAGTTGTTCCACGACCCTCGATCTGATTATATTTGCTGAGCTACCTGGATCCACTAAAACACGTTTAACTTGAATTTTATTCAAAAGTATAGAGATTTCCGGGGCGTCGTTATGAGGCTGAGATATGCCTTCTGCTTCCTCGTCACATAATGATAAGACGTCTCCGTTTTTCTTTTGTGATTGATACTTTGGTGCGCTTGAATACAGGCCGTTGAGGGACATCGACTCTGCCAATGATCATGTGGATTACATGTTGCGGTTCTTCTTGTTCACTTTTCCTTGCATCCCTCTCCCTGAAGTGGTTTTTGGCTCAATCGCTGAGGAATTCTCGAAGGTGGACCCTCGTTGAATAACCGAGCCACTTCTTCCCTAAGCTGCCTGCAATCTTCCATTCTATGACCAAGCGTGCCATGATACTTGCACATCAAATTAGGGTTCCTTTGAGAGGGATCGGTCTGTATAGACCTGAGCCACTTGGTGTCTTTGATTTCCGGTGGAATCCCTGTCATATCTAAATGGGACCAAGCAAAGCAATCCATATTATCAATAAGAAATTGAATGAGTTTTTTGCCGATACCAGAGCCCTTGACCTCAGAGAAATCGAGCACCAAAGGTAAGCAGGCTGCTAAATAGCAATCACAGCCCCCGGCCTCGATGGAGTCGGAACAACAGGTAATCGAAGATGAAGAAGAGGATCCCCTTACTCCTCGAACCTTCGTCGTTCCCGAAGAGTCCGATGCAACCAAGTCAACTGTCGAGGAACTGGAGCAGGTCATACTTATCGAATACTTGCCCGAGAGAAAGATATACCTGGGAACGGGATTGACCCCCGAACTCTCCTCAATCACAAACATCTCTTTTGCAGCGTGTTGCTCTCCGTAGACTGTTTTCACCCCTTCCTCTGCTGGGAATTTAATCATCTGGTGAAGAGTTGAAGGCACTGCCCTCATGTTGTGTATCCATGGTCTCCCGAGGAGTGCGTTATACCTCATGTCACCTTCGATGACCTGGAACCTAGTGTCTTGTATGGTCCCAGCTACGTTTACTGGCAAGATAATCTCTCCCTTTGTTGTTTCGCTTGCCATGTTGAAGTCATTCAGGACCCGAGATGCAGGTACAATCTGATCTTGTAGGCTGAGTTGTTCCACGACCCTCGATCTGATTATGTTTGCTGAGCTACCTGGATCCACTAAAACACGTTTAACTTGAATTTTATTCAAAAGTATAGAGATTTCCGGGGCGTCGTTGTGAGGCTGAGATATGCCTTCTGCTTCCTCGTCACATAATGATAAGACGTCTCCGTTTTTCTTTTGTGATTGATACTTTGGTGCGCTTGAATACAGGCCGTTGAGGGACATCGACTCTGCCAATGATCATGTGGATTACATGTTGCGGTTCTTCTTGTTCACTTTTCCTTGCATCCCTCTCCCTGAAGTGGTTTTTGGCTCGATCGCTGAGGAATTCTCGAAGGTGGACCCTCGTTGAATAACCGAGCCACTTCTTCCCTAAGCTGCCTGCAATCTTCCATTCTATGACCAAGCGTGCCATGATACTTGCACATCAAATTAGGGTTCCTTTGAGAGGGATCGGTCTGTATAGACCTGGGCCACTTGGTGTCTTTGATTTTTCCAATAGCTGACACAATCCCTGATGCATCTACGCTGAAGTTGTACTCCGATAACCGAGGCGCCTCTGCGGGATCGGTATGCTTATCGAATCCGCTTTTTCTCATGAGTCCCCGAGAAATTTGACCCCGATCGTTCTGAGGAGCATTTCAACTTGAATCGTGGTTCCTTCGATCGACATACGGCTGATACCGTTCCCCGTTCGATCTCGATTCCTTGTTCGTATCCCTCGGGGGCTTGGCCACCAACCTGTCAGGATGAACTGAACCTGAAGGGGCTCCCTACTGGTCGTCCTCGACCCTAATTTTTGATTGGTATCGGTTGCGCACATCTGACCACGTCACAGCTGGATACTCGATCAAGTTCTGTTTTAATTGTCGAGAGGCAATCGAGCTCCGTTCGTTCAAAGCTTGCATAAAGGCCTGTATTGCCCAGTCATCGGAGACCGGTGGTAATTCCATTCTCTCCATCTGAAACTTGGACACGAATTCCCTCAACATCTCGTCGTCCCTTTGTTTTATCTCGAAGACGTCTGATTTCCTCATGGCCACCTTTATGGCCCGGCATGTGCTTTCACGAAGGCGTCTGCTAACATAGCAAATGAGTCAATAGAGTTAGGAGGTAATTTGTGGTACCAAATCATGACTCCTTTCGACAATGTTTCTCCGAATTTTTTCAACAAGACTGATTAAATCTCGGCGTCATTCAAATCATTTCCTTTGATCCCGCAAGTGTATGAAGTAATATGCTCGTTAGGGTCAGTTGTCCTGTTATATTTGGGTATATCGGGCATGCAAAACTTTTTAGGAATAGGCTTCGGAGCCGCACTTTGGGGGAACGGTTTTTGTATAAACTTTTTGGCATCTAATCCTTTCAAAACTGGGGGTGCCCCTGGTATCTGGTCTACACTGGAGTTATAAGTCTCCACCTTCTTATCGTTATCTTTAATTTTATTTTCTCCGGACTCGATCCTCTTAGTGAGCTCTTCGAGCATTTTCATAATGGTGGGGTCAGTCCCCGAGTCGTTTCCATTTGGCCTTTCTGGCGTTGGTTTAGCACGTCGATTGTTTTCATGTTCAGCTACACTCAGGGTCTTATTTTGACTTTGAAGTTGAGCAATGGCGGCCTGTTGGGCTTGCAACATCTTGAATATCACTTGAAGGCTGACTCCCCCATCTCCTATTCCCGGTATTCCTTGGTCCCCTGGTCGGGCTTCCCTGCGTACACTCCCTTCGGGGTCTGTGCCTAAGTTGGTGTTTAGAGCAATGTGAGAACCAACATCAACTGGTTCCATGTTTGGCACTTCCCCAGGGTTTACCGGCGGTACACCGTCCCCTATATTGTTGTTTTCACCAAGACCTTCGTTGTCATGAACAGGTGCATTCTGTGAGCTAGATATGTTTCAGCCTGAGAATCAAAAATTCTTGAAAAGAAAAAGTGTAAAAATAACGTGTGTAATGAGAATCAGTAAAGAAATAATCACTATTATCTTTAGCCCCACGTTGGGCGCCAAACTGTTTACCTCGAAAATACGAGTAACAATTAAATTTGATTTGTGATTTTAAAGATATGTGATTTAGTTCAATACCAATTAATAATCAAGAAATATGAAGTAGAAGTAAAAGAGACAAGTGAATCAAACCAATGTTACTTGACAGTAGTGACCTCGAGATGGTGACCTCGAGACGGGCTAAGTGCAATAAAGTAAGAAAAGTAAAGCAAGAGCAGTAGAGCTAAAGGACAATGCTGATAAACAGTAGGCAAAAAGTAGAGAGTATATTCTTTTCTCAGTGATTATATGATCTTACAAATGATTGGGGTCCCCTTTATATAATAGCGGAACCCTAAATAAGGTATATTCCTATTTACAGTAAGGAATATTCTTGATACAGCTGTCTAACCGCCTAGTACGGAGCCGTACAATCCTATTCCGGGATTTACGTCATGATCTTGGGGACGTGGCGGGAATCTAGCTCATTCTATTACAAATCCGCAACGGTACTATTTCGGGGTCGAGCATTCTCGGCTTCGATATTTCTCGTACTCCTATCTCCGGGCATCGCATTCTGTCTTTGAGCTCGAGTCTGATCCATCGGGCTCGAACTCGACCTCGCCCTCGAGCCTATAAATTAGTAACCTCGATTTCTACCGCATACAATTGTCTTCTTCAAAAGAGAGGGGAATTAATCACGCCATGCTTTTATGTTTCTACAAATGTGAATATGGATGGAGTTGACAACATCGATGCTTTCTTCTCTAAAGCTACCACAGCAGTTGCTTCCATCTTCGGCAAACCGAAAACGTAACGCATCTCTCTCTCTCTCCCTCTCTCTCTCGTCTCTCTCTCTGTCTTCTATTATTAATATATACTCCAGTTATATACATAGTGTATTATGTATGGCTTCTTCTCATATGTTGTGTAGTCTTTTCTTTGTTCTTTTACGTACCACCCTCTTCCAGGAGTTGGGGTTGGATTTTTTTCCTTTTTCTTCTCCTCTCGTATGCTGTCTAGTAATTCTAATGCTGGAGAGCTATTTTTTATAGGGATAATTGCATAAAAGTACAGTCAGTAGGTGCTTTTCATTTGCATAGCCATCATTTTAAGTTTTCATCCGTATAGCCCATGAAAGTCTCACAATATGACATTATGTCTGGATATAACTTTACAGATCTATATGTAATTTTTTATTCTTTGCATACAACCAACTTAAATCGATCATATACATTCCTATTGCAATTACAAAAATGCAAACCAACTATCAACTTGAGAAAAATCTAAATTTTCTTCTGTCCCAAGTTCTAAATAGCATAAACAAAAGAAATAAAAAATAAAATTGAAAAAAATTGCTACAAATTCGCAAGTTGGCAGAGAAATCAACAAAAAATTGACTTTATACATCGATTGTTCGAGAAAAAGTAAGAAAAAAATTTAATTTCAGTTTTAAGTCCACATATATTGTACATGTATAAAAATGTATAACTTAGTATAAACTCGTATATGGAATGTATAATAATGTATTCTTGTATTTCACCAACACAAAAAAGCAAAATTAGCTTTAACTGCACATGTGAAAGGGGAACTTACTTCAAAGAGAAAGACCACCGCACCAAAGTCGAACAGAAATCGCGAATAGAAAGAATAATATTGGATAACACTATTTACACACCTAATATACAACATTATACAACATTATACAATATTATACACTTATTATATTTTTGTATAATGCTGTATAATATTGTATAATGATGTATAATGTTGTATACGAAAACTGAATTTCACCTTCAATTTCCTTTTTCAACTGGTATGATTCTCAAAACCAATGTTAATTATGCTCAATCAACCCAGTACTCTAGATTCAAGTTACTAAAAGTTTTTTCAATATTTTTAGCTTCACCCAAATAATTTCACCGATATTAATCAACACCCATTTGATTTTTTCACCAAAATACATCTTCCTCGGGTCTATTAAAAAAACTCATAAATTACAATAGGCTTAAAATCTCAGTCTAGAACTTCAATCTTGATCTCAAGGAACTATTCATACGTTGTTAAATAGAAATAAGGAATGTCAGTCGTTGATAATTTTGTCAACCCAGTTCCGCTTTTTCAGTCCAGAATTTCAATCTTGAAAAAATTTCAGCAAAAATCAAGAACCCAGTTCTTTCCCCAATTTTAGCTCACCAAATTCGTTCTCAAAGAGTTGCAAAGTAGTCCAACTGAACCAAATCTCTACGTTGAAGCTTCTTGGACTATTATCAATTAATTTCAATAGCACCCACTCGAATTTGAGCACGATTCTTTCATAAATTTTCAGATCTGAAAAGCTTCTAACTCCCTCAACCTAATTTTTGGTTTGGATATCAAAATCTTGACTTCACAACAAACTTAGGAGAGGTGGCCACTGGAGTGGAGAGAAGAAGAGGAGAAAATGTAGAAGAGATGAGTGAAGATTGTTTAGGTTAAACATTGAAACTTTTATTTCAAGATATATACAATATGAGTCTCGGCATGTAAAATTCCAAAATATGGGCTCTTTATTGTTATAGAACTAGGTCGGGTGATATACAGTGTAATTGTTTCTTTTTTTTTTTTTTACCTTTCATGTAAAATTTATATTCTAATAAAGTATCAACTTCTAAATCTTTTTCAGCTACGGGTGTGTTTGGTATAACGGAAAATATTTTTCGTGAAAAATATTTTCCAATAAAATATTTTCTTGGAAAATAAGTAATAATATTATTCATTTTCCGGTGTTTGGTATGCAAAATAAGGAAAATGACTTCTCAAGAGTAATTCATGAATAATTTAGATATAATAAACATGAAGCCATAAACTTTCAAACCAACAACCTTCCGAACCACATTTTTCATGAACTTTCGAACCGCTAAACTTTCGAAACCGCGAAATTTCTAACACGTAAACTTTATAATTTCTAAACCCGTAAACTTCCAAACACATAAACCTCCGAAATCATAACTTTGGAACTTGTAAAATTTTGAACCTTTAAACCGATAAATAAAAAAACTAAAGATGTAAAATATATTAAAATTTTTTTTTGTTCGGGGGGGGGGGGGGGTAGGGGGGCAGAAAAACCAAAAATAGTATAAAAAAAAGTTTTGTGTGGGGAGTGGGAGGGGGGGGGGCAGTTGGGGGTGGGTGGTACAGAAAAACGAAAAACAAAAATTTGAAATTGCAATAAAAAAAAATAAGGTAAAAAAATATTTTTTTTGCGGGTAGGGGGATTAGGGTGGGGTGGGGTGGGGTGGGGTGGAGGGTAGTAGGGTGGGTGGTAACGAAAAACTAAAATTTGAAAAAAAAAAGAGCCTTNATCAGAGTATTAATGTAATTTGTTGAAAATATTAAGTGTAAGTAAAATTGTTCTTCAAAAAAGTTATTCATAAATGTTTAAAAAATTGCTATATAGAACAATTGCAAAAAGACGTATTCAATTTTTGTACGAACGTCACAAATAGTTGACTTTTTAAAGGATTTAGTTAACATAAAATTGTAATTGGTTCTATAATCCTAAATTTTAGGTACATAAGTTAAATAAGGAAAGATTTAATGACCAAATTTTAATAAATTTCTAAGTCCTAAATATAGAAAAATAATTAAATAATTATTTTGTCTAGTATAAAATTTATTTTTAAAGGGTAAAAAAAGCGAACGATATTTCGTTAAGTGGCTTCGTGCTTTTAATATAGTATAGATTAAACTAAGATGACGTTAAATAAAGCAATATAGACCGTAAAGATTTATATAGCCCACCAAACTTTATTGGGATTGAGACGTAAATAATAGGGTGAAATTCAAAAATAGCCAGATTTACAACTGGTCGTTCAAAAATAGCCCAGTTTCAAAAGTAATTGATATTTAGCTACTTTTCATGTAAAGATAAATCTGAGCGAAAACACTGTTCAAAACTCGGAAAATACGCCAGCATATTATGCTGGAGTTCCAGCATAAGTATACTTGAACTCCAGCATATTATACTGGAGTTCCAAGATAAGTATGCTGGAACTCCAGCATAATATGATGGAGTTCCAGCATAGGTACACTAGAACTCCAGCATAATATACTGGAGTTCCAGCAAGTATACCGGTCCAGCATAATATACTGGACTTTGGAGCACCGGTGCTCCACTCTCCAGTATATTATACTGGAGCCAGCAAAGTATACCGTTCCAGCATAATATGCTGGAGTTCATACACAGGTGCGCCGAACTCCACTATGTTATGCTGGACCGGTCTCTGCTGCAGCAAAATAGTGGCTATTTTTCATTGACTTGGTAAACGCTAGCTAATTGAATGACCAGTCCGAAAACTGGCTATACTGTGCTATTATAACTAAATAATATAATGGTAGTAGTTGTAATATAATTTAATACATCCCACTCTCGTTGATCTTTTGATTGATACTCTTATTATCTAGCATTTTTCTTTTTCTTTTTTTGGGTTTTCCACCCGGTGTCCGCTATTCACATTGGGGTCCGACTAAATCCGAATTCGTGCGGGGAGTCCCACATTGGAGGGTAAAGCGCTCCCTAACAAAAGCGACTCCATACCCAGGGACTTGAACTCGAGACCTCTGGCTTTAATTATGTACTCTTTCTGGCTTCAGTTTATATGAATTTATTTATTTATTTATTTATTTTGTCTATTCAAAAAAGAAAGGGTAGTATCACTTTTAACTCGCGCCAGAAACTATTTATATCTAATAGCCGAAAAAATGTATAAAATTTGTATAATTTTTGTATATAACATACAGAATGTATATATATATATATATACCATTTTCAACTATTATTGTTACAGCAGCTATGCAGTGTCATTTTTCCAAAAAAAAATTATGATTCCTTTTTAAATTTGAAAATTATTTAACTTATAGTCACACAAATACTCTTTCATGTTTAACACCACAAGTTTCAAAATAATTATAGTCACACAAATATTATAACTTATTTAGGATCAAAAGTTTTAAAGTTTTTTTTAAACTCTGTGCCAATCAAATGTAGCTAGGTTCACATAAAACGGAGGGAGTATCATATATAAATAGAAAATTAGAAATCATGATTAAGATACACCTTGCTTTATTTTGATAAGATATCGCATCATAGACCGGAGTTGAAAGAGAGATGCTCAAACCATTGAATTTAAGGCTAAATGGTAGACAACTAAAGTAGCTATAGAGATGCATATCTATAGCTAACAATTATAAGCACATTTGCTTTTCTGCTTTCTATTACTAGGTTTTCTTCAAGAAGTTCTCTTACTTATATTTTTACTAGATAAGGAAAGGCCCGTATACGGGCCCAACATTGTAATCTTAAAATTGTTATTTGTCGGTGCTCAATTAATTTTTTGATAAATAAATCGATCATTGTTATATCCATTTAATAACTGATAGAGAATGATATTGGGGATCACAATTTACAATTAATTTATTTTAATAATTTACAAAAAATTAAACTATAAATTATAACTCGCTTAAGTTGCTNCTATAATACTCATTTTAACATCAATGTCAAATATAAACATCAAATTATAAAATTGATTGAATGATATTATTTCCCAACTATATTTGAATTTTTAACAAGATAATACATTAAAGGCACAAATGTAATTTATATTAACAATTTTTCTACAACCAAAAAAAAACTTACCGATCTATTTGTAAACTAATTTTGAATACTTTCAATTTGGTCTTCCAAGTGTTTCAATAGTGGGAACAATCAGCTACCTGATGAAAGTTAAAACGAACAACATCATTTTTTATAATACGAGAAAAGTTGAAAAAAAACTTATGATTTTACTTTATGTCTTGTATACAACAAAATCAAGAGAAATTTTTAGTACAGTCAACAAAGAGAACTTCACTTGCATCCCTAAAGAGGCAATTTACTACTTCAAACAAAGAGAACCAACTGCACTAAACAAATATTAACATGAAATAAATTGTAGTAATTCAATATAGTAGTTCAAGTTATATTTTATTATAACTCGTTTAAAATGATGTTACTGGTGATAAGATAATAAATATCTGATAGAAGTCTATATAAATTATAGGGATTTTAATTTTTTTCTTAATTAAGGATATAAGAGAAATATTTTTATTTTTTCTATAGATTTATCATATGTTAATTTTTATAATGAAATAATATAAAATATTTTAAGACAATTTATAGATTGTTGAAAACTTATCATGGAAGAATGGAGTTCAAACCATATAAATCAAATTTTCATATCAATTAAGTACATAAGAGATAACCTCCTAGAACAGATGAACAAATATTATCACTTAAATTAACTTTTAAGGTTTAGCAAACTATAGTTTTTAAAATTACTTTAATATAAAACTTTTATGTTTGAAATCGCCTTCAAATAGTGTGAATATATGAAAACCTTTTAATTTTATTTTTAAATTGTGTTAAAATAGTATGGGTAAATATGAAAATCTTGTACATATTTATCTATATTTCTTTTTGTTGCTTTATTATTTAAAACTTAAATTTACTTTTTCTATGGAAACTTTTAGTTGACTAAAACAAAAATTAATAATTTTATCAAATGAGAAAAACATTCTAAATGAGAATTTGCATGGAGTAGCTCTCTCCAAAAGTCTAATCAACACTACCTTTAAACTTTTAAAGGAGTGTTGTGGTCAAGGGAATGTGGGGTCCACGTATATCAAGGAGAACACAATTTACATTTAAGAAATGCAAACAATACAATAATTTTTTTCGAAATAACATATATGCCCTTGGTTGACCATCTTTCCTTTTCTATACAATAGAAATAATTGTACCCTCTAATGTGCAGAGTTTATCTCAAATATGGATGTTCTAAAATTCATTCTTTAAGAAGTCTTCTTAAATAGCTCCATTTGTTAGCTAATGAAGAATTTTTATACTGTCATGGCACCTAAAAGATAAGTACAAATAATTATCTATAAAACGAGAGACTACTAACCTGAAAGATAAGACAAATTACCTGCCATACATATTATTCACCGGTAGAGTGAAAAAACTTTATAGTATCGGTATATATAACTTAAATTAATATGTACATATATATCAATAAAGAGGGAAATTACTTTTGCTTTTTTGCAGTATGTGATGGTCGTACTGAAAGGATCATTGGACATATCATTTGGAGGGAACAAGGAACCAGCTGCATTTGCTGAGATCGTATCCATGGGTGGCATTGACTCTGATGTCAAGAGAAACCTTATTGCTACCCTTGGCACCATTTTGCACAACAGGTTCTCCATTCCCACAACCCGATTCTTTCTCAAGGTTTACGATACAACCATGCCTCGCAAACTGTCAAAACTCTAATTTTCTCAAACAACCCACGTGTATTGATCATTCTTCTCCTGGTGTTTAAGAAGCATGATATAGCAGTATATCTATCCATGATATAGCATGCGTTCACGTTTCTTTCAGATATTTCAGATAAAAGCAACTACTATTTTGCAGAAGTTTTGCTGAAGAAAGAGCTACATAAAAGATAATAATAAGCAATACTATCTAAATTGAACTCGATTCTACAAGATGTAATACTTTCTGTTTTCTTTCCAAGAGTAACCACTTTACTACTTTCAAAAGTTCAGAAAATCCCTTCAATCCTCAACTAAAAGTATTAACCTCATACACAACTGCAAAGGTACATATACTAATCTTATCCACAAATTCAAAATGATGGATATAAAATATTGTTGGACAAAGGACGCCTAAGTTTCTAAGAAGAAATTACCTATTGCTCCATATCAGCTTTATATCGGAAGCAGAGTTCAGCATTCGTCTAAAACTATAGCTGAGGAAAAACACCTTTTCCCGATAGCCCTCAAGTTAGGTGTTTGCCAACCTTTACCCTCCTTATAACATTCAATCTGCATCCACAACACTTGAGCGTTAGCTAACAGGAGAATATATATGTGTGTATGTGTGTGTGTGTGGGGGTGTGTGGGTGTGTGTGTGTGAACATATGTGAACATACAAGAAACTAAGCATGAGATGATGGTACATACCACATCTACTATCTCCTCATTGGATTGAACCCCTCCAATTACATAGATGGATTCCTTTAGAACAGCAGCAGCTGAATACCCCCTTGAATGGTTCATTGGCTCTCCAATCATCCATGTCTCCAGACGGGGGTCATATATCTCAATGCTTGGCACCATTGTAGATCCATCATAACCACCAACTGCATATCTACATAGCAATTGTAAAGCTAAACGAAATGAAAACACTCGCAAAGTCAAACGAAAATAACGAGTATTTACTAACCCTAGTAGAAGATACCGAAAACCATGATAAAAAACACCCCCCGGAAAAAGATGACTATTTATACAATATACATCTACCCTTGAGGGCAGTGAACATCACTAAAATATAGAAAAAAGGATAAGAACATACAACTTTCCACTCAAGGCAACCAACGCATGGCATCCTCTCTTTGTGTTCATACTTGCAATTTTTGTCCAGGAATGTTCTCTGGGATCAAATCTTTCAGCAGTCCTGAAGTAATAGCTAGTAAGAAAGAAGCCACAGGAGAATAAAGCATAAAAGTTGAACTACAAACAGCTTTACATATGCAGATAATCTATACTTAATGTAACAAAAGCAGTTTCCTAGACTTCTCGAGAAATACATAGAGGTAGCATAAAAAAAGAAGGTAGATGTAGGAAAAGTACGAATTTCTACTTCTTGGGGAAGACCATGGAAAATAATACTTTCATGGTTTGAGAAAATGAGGCTGACATGGAAAGTATCAGAAAAAGAACGGTAATTGTGCTAACTTACGCCAGGTAATTGCTTCCATCATATCCACCAACAGCATATAATGCACCATTGCTTTCTGCTGCAGCAAGAGCAAATCTCTGCAAATATACAATGCATGGAAACAAATTCACATCAAAGGAGAAAACATAACACTTGAAAAAAATGAGATGCTTCCAGACACTAACTAATCCAATTAAAGACAGATGGAGGTCCTGGAATTCCAAGCTTTGCTAGCAACTATTTCCCACAATGGACTTAGCTATTGTGGATAACACAACAAAACAAAATACGACATTTTAACCAATTCTTACCCTCTACCACCTTACTTATCAACACTTTCTTAAATCCTTAAAACTACTTCAATATAAGGCCAAGAGGATTAAACAAAGAGACAAAACGATTTGGAGATTAAGGACAAGATTAACTCATATAGATTTGCTATAAAAACTAAAATGATGAGAATAACTTTCAAAGTGTAATACAAATCAGCATTCTGGTCACAACTTAGATTTTTGACTGAAATGATCTGTCACATTGCAAATTATTTTTGCCCGACAAACAAAACCCAAATTTTTAGCTTTACAGATGCTTTTTGTCTCTTTACACTATTATTACCAAGAAAACAATAACAGAACATAAAAAAATACAACAGGATCACAAGAGCTAACCTTCTGCAACATGGATTGTGTATTCATCCATCGTCCTACTTCAGGATCATACATTTCAACCTCTGAAAAGCACTCAATCCCATTTCCACCACCAAGCACAAATATTTTGTCCTTCAAAGCAGCACCAGCTAAGCTACCCTTTTTCTCTTTCAGAGAAGGGCACTGAGTCCACTTATTATCAACTGGGTTATATGATTCAACTTCAAAAGAAAAGAGTTCAGCATTGTCAGCAACTTGAGAGAGATATGGGGATAACGGTGGGAGAAATTCAAAAATAGCCAGATTTACCACTGGTCGTTGAAAAATAGCCAAGTTTCAAAAGTCATCGAAATTTAGCCGCTTTAAATCTGAGCGAAAACACTGTTCAAAATCCGGAAAAATATGCCCGCAAATTTTACGGGAGTTCCAGCAAGTACAATTGTCCAGTATAATATACTGGAGTTTGGAGCACTGGTGCTCCAGTCTCCCGCAAATTTTACAGGAGTTAGTAAAGTATACCGGTCCAGCATAATATGCTGGAGTTCGTACACAAATGCACCAGAACTCCCGTATATTATACTGGACCGGTCTCTGTTGCAGCAAAATAGTGGCTATTTTTCATTGACCTGATAAACGCTGGCTATTTTTCATTGACCAGTGTGAAAACTGGCTATACCATGATATTTTACCGATAACGGTGGGCAGAGAAGTAAGTACAAAACTGTACCTGTGTCGTACCACAAGCTTCCAGTTCCACCACCAAATACATAAAGTTCTCCACTCAGCTTTGCAACTGACGCATATGCACGAACTGAATTCATTGGTTTAAGTGACTTCAACACATCAAGTGAAGGCATATACGAGTCCAAAGCTGATAACCATGATACACCATCATATCCTCCAGTAAGGAAAATGGACTCATGCTTCATGTGTACATCATCATTGCAGTCAATCATTATTTCATCAGCACGTGCACAAACAGTATTTGAGGATTCCAGCATCATACATTTATATTTTAACTGAGTAATCTCTTGTTCTGCATAAGCCTGAAACTCCAAACCACCTAGAGTTACTAGGTATTAACTTCTTATCTTTATATATACAACTGCATGTTTACCCAAACGGTATGAAATTGGACGAAGTTAAAATCCTAGAAACAGACTTTGGGAGTTCTGGAAATCCGAATTTGCTTGCTGTCATTCTCAAAGAATATAACATTTAATGCCACATTCAGTTACACCTCTGTTTCATTTTGGTTACAGCCATACACACTACGAACCCAATGTCGTTCCTATTGGTTCATATTCTTGATATACTAACAATCATTATAACCAGTTCAAATCTGTTGAATATATAGATTTGGTCTCACAAAAACCAATAAGAGTTCTTTAATATGGAGGCTCTCAGCTAAAAGATTTTCTTCTAACATGTAGGACAAAGACTAAATTAATATTCCCATCCCAGAACAATAACGAGTGCTTGGAGAAGAAAAGTGATACCCCTTCACGAACCCAAGCCTATTAGCCCAAATAAAGTGGATAATCTCAATTTCAAGTATTTTGTGTTCAATGATTTTAAAAACTAATTTAGGACTTCAAAACATATCAAACTATGTGTTTATAACCACACTACTCATGTTGTGTTTTATCCCTCCATTTGTTCTTTGCAGTAAAAAAAGCAGTGTACAGCCTATTCAAACTCTGTTGTATGACATCAAAACACTAAGATATAATGTATCTAAGAAATTTTCTGTTCTTCACCTGTTATCAACCAAATACTTGGAATTCCACTTAGAGCATCTTAATAAACTAAAGTAAACATCCATCCCTGTTTCACTCGTTCTTCTTTTCTAAAGTTTTTCAGGAGCAATCCAAATTTAAAAATAATGGTCAACCAAATATTTGGCTCCATTTAGCCCCATTATTTCATCACAAAAAAAAAAAAAAAAAAAAAAAAAAAAAATCATTTGGCTCCATTTGGTCTCTGAACCTTGAAGACTATCCTAGGATATTGCATATTCCTGTCGTTTCACCTTATTTTAAGCAAGGCAACAAACCTTACGTTTCTTATAGAGAGTATTAAATCATTTGCATGACAACTCACTGAACCACATATGAGCATTAACAGTCTCAATCAGTTACTATCATCTTTTACATTGTTTATGGATTATCGTTATTGTAAGAACAGTAAGGTTTCAGTATATTTTCTCATGCCCTCTCACCACCCACCTCCTAGAAAACAAAGGGAGAGGAAAAACATATATCTTTTGGTTCCTCGTAGTACCAAAAGACATCCAACATAGAGCAAGTTCTAGCATCATTAGTAACTCGCAAAGAGAAATTAGGAAGGATAGTAATTTTAGCACAGAATAGAGATGTCACCATAACACCGAGAATGCAAAGAGATAAGGTTTACCAGCTTCCGCTCCAAATTATCCACCTTATGAATGTGCTCTTCCTTAAAAGCTTTCAGTTCTTCTATTCCTTGAAGAAGCTACAAAAGAACAAAATAGCTCAAGTCATGTAAAGCGGTAAGATGCTGCTGTTGGGGGACAAAAATCGGCAGATGAACAACCTGAGCTATAACAGATGGATAACCAGTTGAGTCATAGGAGCAGTCTACATTCTGCTCTTCCTGCAAAGTTTCTTGCCCAATGATTGCGTCATTTATAGACGGAGGAACGAAAGCATTGGTGGTTTCCTCTGAAGGCCCATTTGTAATGCCACCTGAGAATTCCCGCTGAAGGGCCAATTCTTTAAGTTTTATGTATATAAGATCCTTCTCACCCAATTCTGCCTGATCATCTGGCTGCTGGATACCATTTGAATGTAGAGAAGTGTCTCTAGCCCCCAATTTCCCATTCAAACCAGATGTGTAGGCAAAAATATCTTCCAAGTCCTGTGACTTAAAACACTCATTTTCCTCTCTTTTGTCATTTGCAGGTAAACCTAGGATTATACTTCTCTGTTTTGCTGAGTTTTGTGATGGGCTACTACTTGGAGTATATGCAAGAGACGACAGCTTGGAAATCAATTTACCAGTTTGAACATGATCTAATTCATACCAGAAATGGTTCTGACTAAAATAGTTATCCATAATTAATGGCTTAAACTGACTTTCTAGCAGCGGTTGACATTGCAGGCGTACACATATTTGAACCTTCATAATGAAACAGCAAAGTTTGAGATTTTTTTTTTTTTTTTTGGGACTAAACCAGAGGCATTGACCAAAGGAAAGAATCCCCACAAGAAAGACGATATCAAACCTGCGCAGGAAATTGAGTTTTAAAAGAACCATCTGACGTCCAAGCATATTGATCGATATACATTTGACCAGAGCCTGCAGCCTCATAGACGCCGTAAAGCTTTCTATCACTGAAGTTGAACAAAAATAATGGCAAGCCTGGATCTATATTCTTCACATATGAAAAATGTTGAACAGGCAAACCTATCAAAAGTTTTTAAACATTAGCATACTTGAATAAATGGTGAAAAGAAGAAATAAGAAAATTAAACATAAAAAACACTCTCATATCTCAACACAATAATTCTGATTTATTTCTTTTTTTCTCTTTTTCCTTTTTTTGGAAGGAAAGATACTATGGCCAAATAACTGACCAAATAGTTGTTTCGAGAGACACTCTCTCATCGTGTTATTCTTGCAACCAAATATAACGCCTCCAAGCTGACTTCTACTCAAGTTTCTAAAGCCTCTAGCATTGTTTGCCTGGTTTGATGCAACTGCAGAAGCATTTACCATGATTGGCTGTGTTCTCCTATCCTGAAAAGAGCACAAGGATAGAACTAAATCGACATGATTAAGAGGAAAATAGTTTCCACTTTAATAAAAGTACACCGAAAATAATTTCCACTTTATTTTCAGTCATGAACAACCTATTTTCCAATGTGCAGAGCAAACAGCTAATGAAAACCTAAAGTATAAAACTAACTTATGGAACAGTCATTGCTTTCTCTTTTTGTTAATGTACGAAAGAATTTCACATCCCAATATGTCTGTACACGAATCAGTTCTTTAATAGGAAGTCTGACAAAACCTTATTTTTCCATTCAGCTACTCCAATAGAGCATGAAAACATTTTTGCAAGAACATGTGAACCGAAGGGTAAAACAGAACTAAAACTAATGATCCAGACTTCCCTTTGGATCACAATGACATTTCATCTGTACTAATGACTTTCTAGCACTTTAATTGCAATACAGCAATTTTAACCAACAACACATGCAGAACTCTTCAAAATTAGAACATAGCATTCTTTGCTCTTCCCTGCCATTGCGCTCCCTCTCCCCTCCCACGACAAAATGACACCATGCACAGGCTACCCGGAAAACTAGAAGAAAAACATATCAAATTTAACCAAGTTGGAGAATATTATAATATAGTGTTCTTTCCACTTCCAGGCCATTGCACAGCCAAACACTCTGCCCATGCACCAAGAAAAACTAAAAGAAGATCTCAAATTTAACCACATTGGTCGAAAATTATAATAAAAGAATTTAGTCAACACCATAGCCAGGCTACACAGAAAAACTAAAAGGCTCTCAAACTTAGTCACATTGGATAATATTAAATCAGGAAAAAAGATGAGCACTTAACCCCACAACAAAATTGTATAGAATAATGCAATACTTTCACCAAAAAAAAGAACAAGAAATTTCATCAACTAGCTCGGTTAAAAGCCCCTAGTTCATAACAGTCACAAAAGTAATGAAGCAGGATTACCTCAATTCTTAACAGGGAAATAGGCAATTCAGCAATCTAACCAAAATGCATGAGGAACTCTTCATGGTTATAACATAGTTTCCTCTAGCTGCCGTTGCACCCACCCCACACTCAAACAAAAACCCAGCCAGGTTTAGCCAAAAAAGCTTTAAGGAAAAACATCTCAATTTTAACCATGTTGATGAAAACTATAAAATTGAAGTTCTTTCCTTTTCCATGCCATTGCACAACCTCCAGGTTCAAATGTAAAAAACGCTAGATGATTTCTTCTCATCTGAAGCTTTGGTGGACCGATTACCTGTGTGGTGGGCGGTAGCGGGTATGATGGAATAGTCTAGGAAACAGGCATAAAAAAATTATCCAACTTTCAATTGCACCTAAGGGTGTAATCTAATAGTCATTTAAGTGTGAGGAGAATCATGAATTTCAGTCGCACCTAAGGCCTAAGGGTGTGATCTAATGGTCATATAAGTGTTAGGAGAATCCTCAGGTATCAGGTTCAAATTCCTAACATAAGCAAAAAACACTAGATGATTTCTTCCCGGGCAGTAAAGTATCCTGTGGAATAGTTAAGTGAAGGCAAACTTACCCAGACGGCAGATATCTCAATCATCAAAAAAAAAAAAAAAAAACTTTAATCAATTCGAACAATCAGTTCACAAAAAGAAAAAAACTAAACCCTAAACCCCAACACAAATTTGTGAAAAATGATGCAAAAATATCACCAAAACAAGGAAATTCCATCCAATAACCAGGCTAAAAGCCCATAGTTCATAACAATCATAAAAGTTAATGAAGCGGCATGATCTCAACAGCAACATGAGCAAAAACCTGCCGTCCTAACAAGTATAAAAAAGAGAAACAGAAGTGATTGAATTTCATACTTAATAAGATAACCCTTTTAACCCAACTGGATAACATATAGTTTCCAGTTTGCAGTGAAGCAAAATTGTGTACATAAACTAAAGTTGTGCGTATATTGTCCAAGAAAATACAAATATACGTACATTGAGTAGATACAGAAGAGGGTTTTGAAGAAAGAAAGGGGAATTACCAAATGGAGAGCTTTCGAGCGTAAGAAAGCGTAAACGCATGCGCGAAACTGCCCTCTTACGGAGTATTTCGCATTAAAGTTGATGGCATCCAACAATACTCTACTTTAATTCCCCTCTTCCTCTTTTTATCTTTTTACTCCAACCCCTTAACCTTTAAAAAAGTACTTATTGTTAAAAAATGTAGCTCAAAGTAACAATATAAAACAAGAAGATAAGTAGAATAAGAGAAGAAGAGATAACTTTCTTATTTGTATTCCATCTCACATTTCATGCCTCTATTTATACTATTACATATGAAGGTTACAAAATCATTGTCTTAAACATGGCATTAACAATTGAGATCATGGGGGAAGATCATGGGGAGGGGTTATGGAGGTGTGGGAGTTACAATCATAATGGTGATGAGTAGTGGGAGGTAATTTACATCATGGGTGAAAGTAGTGGGAGTAGTGGACATCCACATTTACTAAATATTTTGTAACACTCCCCCTTGGATGTCCAAAAAAATAGATAATATGCCTCGTTAAAACCTTACTAAGAAAAAACCCTGTGAGAAAAAATCTTAGTGAAGAAAAAAGAGTACACATATCTCTAATACGCTTTATTTGCTGCCTCGTTAAAAACCTTACCAGTAAAACCCAGTGGGACAAAACCTAGGCTAAGGGAAAAAGAGTACAGCGCGTATCTTACTCCCCCTCATGAAAATATCACTTTATTCTCGAAGACGTCGCATTCCAATCTTCTGTCTCAACTTCTCAAATGTTGAGGTTGGTAAAGCCTTAGTGAACAGATCAGCCAAATTTTTACATGAACGAATCTATTGAACATTAATTTTACCATTTTGTTGAAGATCATGCGTGAAAAAGAACTTTGGTGAAATATGCTTTGTTCTGTCTCCTTTGATGTATCCTCCTTTCAGTTGAGCAATACAAGCAACATTGTCTTCATATAGTATTGTTGGATTATCCTTTTTCATAAGAAAACCACACATTTCCTGAATATGCTGAGTCATTGATCTTAACCAAACACATTCCCGACTAGCTTCATGAATGGCTATTATCTCAGCATGATTTGAAGATGTGGCAGCTATTGTTGTTTCATTGAACGCCATGATATAGCAGTACCTCCATATGTAAACAAATAGCCTGTTTGAGATCGGGCTTTATGTGGATCAGACAAATAACCTGCATCGGCATAGCTAATCATTTCTGACTTGAATTCATTAGAATAAAACAATACCATATCTATGGTTCCCCGAAGATATCTAAATATATGCTTAACACCATTCCAATGTCTTCTTGTTGGGGAGGAGCTGAATCTTGCTAATAAGCTCACTGCAAAAGCAATATCTGGTCGAGTATTGTTGGCAAGATACATCAGTGCCCCAATTGCACTAAGATATGGAGTTTCATCACCAACGAGCTCTTCATCATTTTCTTGAGGCCGAAATGGATCTTTATTTATATCAAGCGATCTCACAACCATTGGGGTACTCAATGGATGTGCATTATCCATGTAAAATCGCTTTAAAACCTTTTTAGTATATGTTGATTGATGGACAAAAATTCCATTTGGTACATGCTCAATTTGTTGGCCAAGACAAAATTTTGTCTTACCGAGATCTTTCATTTCAAACTCTTTCTTCAAACACTCTATAGCCTTTGGAAGCTCTTTAGAAGTGCCAATGATATTCAAGTCATCAACATACACAGATATGATGACAAATTCAGATCCAGACCTCTTAATAAAGACACAAGGGCAAATAGGGTCATTTTTGTACCCTTCCTTTAGCAAATACTCGCTAAGGCGATTGTACCACATCCTCCCTGATTGCTTCAATCCGTATAAGGATTTCTGAAGCTTTATTGAACAAGTTTCTCTTGAACTTTTATGTGCTTCAGGAACTTTAAATCCTTCAGGGATCTTCATAAAAATTTCATTATCCAGTGAGCCATATAAGTAAGCTGTGACAACATCCATCAACCGCATATCAAGCTTTTCATGGACTGTCAGATTTATTAGATACCTGAAGGTAATTGCATCTACCACAGGAGAATATGTCTCCATATAATCAATACCAGGCCTTTGCGAAAACCCTTGTGCCACAAGTCGTGCTTTATATCTTACGACTTCACCTTTCTCATTTCGTTTTCGCACAAAAACCCATTTGTACCCCACTGGCTTGACACCTTCAGGCGTTCGGACTATTGGTCCGAAAACTTCACGTTTTTCGAGTGAAGCCAATTCCGCTTGAATTGCATTTATCCATTTTGGCCAATCATTTCTCTGTCTACATTCATCGACAGATTTTGGCTCAAGATCCTCATCTTGTTGCATTATTTCAATTGCAACATTATATGTAAAATTGTTATTAACAACAACGTTATTTCGGTTCCACCTTTTTCCTGTAAAGACATAACTTATTGAGATCTCTTCATTTTCATCATTTCCAGGTACTAGAACCTCCTGTGAGGTCTTATCAATTGCTATGTCCTTATGTTCCTCTTGAGCAATTGCCTCTATGTTATGATCAACTTGATCATTTGCTCCTTTCCTTTTTCGGGGATTCTTATCCTTGGAACCAATTGGTCTACCACGTTTAAGGCGTGGCCTAGACTCATTTGCATCATCATACTGTCCAGCTGGGACATCAACTCGAATTGGAGCATTTACAGCTGGAATATGCGATTTAGTAACCCGTGGAAGGTTAGTAAATGCATCTGGCAATTGATTTGCAACATTTTGCATATAAATAATCTTTTGACTTCTTGTTCACATTGATTTGTACGAGGATCCAAATGAGATAGAGATAATACGTTCCAAATCTATCTCTTTTTCCAGCTGTTTATTTTCTCCCCCTAATGTTGGAAAAATTGATTCATCAAAATGACAATCAGCAAATCTTGCTGTAAACAAATCTCCTGTCATAGGCTCCAAATATTTAACAATAGAAGGAGATTCATAACCAACATATACTCCCAACCTTCTTTGGGGACCCATCTTTGTGCGTTGTGGTAGAATTGTGGGTGAGGAGGATTTGGTCTGAATCCGACGGACCCCCGAACGACGTCCGTATGTCCCTCCAGGAAGGCTCACCATGCAGGCGGTTGCGCGAGAGGGCGATCTCGTTTTAATCGAGGTTCCCATCGGAATTGAGAACTTATTGGTCAAGGGAAAGCTTTGGTGCTAAACCGCAGTTTGAGCTGCTGTGCTCGGAGCGAGAATAGACGTCGCTGCGTGACGGGGGTGTTAGATGTCGGTCTGATGAATGAAGTAGCCGTTAATGAGCTTGAGGGTATGTACTGTTGACTGGTCCGTATCGCTTCTTCTTTACTTAGGTTTATTCTTTTATTCTGATCGTATATGTCTTTGCTTTTGCAGTCTTATCTGTTGGAGGTGGAGAGAGCCGTCGAGCACAGGATCCGCTCGGGATATTTTTGGCGGGCGCTGAGAAGTATTGCCGCTACCAGGATCAATGTCGAGAGTGTGGCGGGGCGCAGGTTGATGAGAACGGATCTCGTAGGCCCGGGGACCTTGGCTAGTGAAGAGCTGGCGAGGGTGGAGTTCAGCGATTGCCGCAAGCACTTGCAGCAACGAGTGCTCTCGAGAGTGATCCGCAGGCTTCCGCGCAAAGGATTGAGGAGTCTCGAGGCGGGTTAAAGAGGGCTCAGCTGGAGTTGCGAGTCGTGACCAGGCGAAGGCGGCGGAGGTCACTGCGGTATGATGAGCGGGAAGGTTTAAACCGCTATTAGAAGGATGAAGTCGCGGCATTCACGAAGCTTCAAAGTGAGGGGTGCCTCGTCGAGGCCGGGCGTTGGAAGGAGAGCTATCACGCCGTGCATCGAATATCCCAAGGGCCGTTGGAAAGGGCATGCTGCGCCTTTGAGAGGCGAGGTCTCGAGGAGCGGGATTTGTGTGCTTTCGAGCAGGACCCCAGTCATATGGCGGGTACCGAATCGCGGCCTATGGAAGAAAGAATCAGCGGCTACGGGATTCAAGCTCGCTTCTTCCAGCACTCCGAGAACTTTGGGTCTTTGCCGAGGCCCAACGTGAATGTATTATAAGAGTTTGTGGGCAGGACTGGCGTCGGTGACCAATAGCTGCTTTCGACAGGGGGCGTCAGAAGGCTCGTGAGGCCCGTGCCGGACTGTGGTTTTGATGCGGCCACGCCGAGCTGACGCTCGGTTGCAGGACGGTGGAGCGGACGGTCACAACTGAGTAAAAAAGACTGATGATAGCATCTTTTCTTTCTTGTCCTTGTTCGCCGCTTGGCGTTTTAGGTGGTTTCTTTGTTGTTTTTTCTTTTATTTCTTGGTATTGATCGCCTGGCCGGGTGAATAGTCGGTGGATGAACCGCAATTGACTTTGTAAATATAAACTTGTTTTTCTTTTCTATTGCCTGCTTGTGCTTATTTTGTGTCACTGTTTTTTCTTCGTTCTTTAGATGTTTTTGTTGCGCTTCTGGTTGAACGATCGGCATTGGCAGGCCCTAGTCGATTTTAGATCGACGACTTTTAGTCGTTGAAGAATCGACAGGGTCTTAGCCATAAAGCGCGACTTCGACTGTCGTTCGAGTCGTTTATTCACCTTAGTCGAAATCTAGGTCGACTGTGGGCTGACGATTGGCCTTGAGCCATGTAGGCGCTCCGACTTTGTCGAGTCGTTTATTCACCTTAGTCGAATCTAGGTCGAACTGTTGGCGACGGATGCCTTTGCTTTTTCAACTGGTGCGGCGGTCTTGGCCCGTTTATTTGGCGATTTAGCCGCATTTAGCCTTAGTCCCGTTCAGGACGCGGTCGAACTAGCCAGTCGTGATAGAAAAAACGGCAGCCTCGTTAGTTGACGGGGCCGAACTTTACGCGGCCCGAGTCCTTAATTCGAGGTTGGGAGAACTTACTTGTAGAATGGCGAGGGTGCCTACCCTGCGCCTTGATTTGGTTGGTAGGTCGGGCTTTGCTTTCACGGATGAAGTGGTGTTTTGGCCTGATGTTTCGGTTCAACTGTGGTTGAACTTGCTAAAAGTTGAGGACAAAGGCGTCCGATGCCTTTAGTCGAGCGAGGTTCGAGGCTCGTTGGGATTCAATGGCAGAGTGTACCTAAGCCTAA